CCCTGGAGGTTTTGTTTAGAAAACCTGGTTGCCATTTCCACGCTGACGTTAAGTTAGTGTATCTGGGCTGTATTGTTTTGACTGAATTTGCAGTTGTTATTAAACATCAATGGACAAAAATACAACTGGGCCTGAAATTGGTTATTTTTTTTGCAAGTTTGTTGCCCCATTCAGCAGGGGATAGGTGAGTAGAGCTGAGAAGATGCTGCAGTGTGTGACTGTCATTGTAAAAGGGTGTGCAGTGCCTGGCCTCCACTCAGTGCTGGGATCTGCTGGGAAATCACTTCCAAATTCTACTGTTGTGCAATTAATCTGCTACATACTAGTATTGATCACAGTGTAGCAGCTTTTATTGTTCAGATAAAAAACCAGAACACATTTTTGTGAGGTGAAGCTGTAACAGGAGTGTTACTTGGCTCCTCTCAGCCCCTTTGGTTGTAGCACCAATGCCAAACGCTGGATTCCCCCCGTCTCCCAGGCACAGAGAACACTAGGAGGGTTTCACAAGGGGTTATCTGTGCATTCCTGAGAGAAAAGGCACAGCTTGAGTTTTGGAGCAGCATGTAACTCTTGCCAGGCTGCTGGAGGAGCAGCCTGCGTGTAAATTGAGCACACTCAGAAGCAGCAGCACAGTCACCACCACCCCTGGGGAGATCCTGCTGCTCCGTCCCCAGGCTGCTCTCAGGTCGGCTGGGGAGCTGCTGAAGGGCAGATCCATGGGCTGGTGTGTTCTGGGAGAGGGGCAGCTGGAAGTTCACTGTACCAAACCCCCCAGCTAGCCCTGGAGCCAGTGGTGTGGGGCAGGGATCACCAGAGCACGTCACAGGAACCCCATGAGCAAACCCAACCAAAGCTTTTCCATTCCAAGCTGAGCCCGGACTCGGCCATAAGCTTCTGACACAAACAAAAACAACCAGTGCTGCTGCTGCACAGCTGTCCCCACCACCCACAGAAACCCCATGGACTTACCTTAATTTGCCATTAACAACTGGCCCCAAGAGGCTGCTGATGGAGGACGCACAGCTCTGATGAGTCTGGTCTGCAGAGGTCTGAACAGCTCGTGGGTTGGACGTTGCAGCCCTGCCGTGGGTGCAGAGGGCCCTGATCTACCTGCTGGGACAGCTGCTGCTCCTCAGCTCCAGCTCAGGGCCAGGACAGCAAAAAGCAGCAGTCAGAGGGTATTTAATTTACACCACACAGCAAAGAGAGTCAGCTATTTGTCTGTGATCGACTGGAAAGGATAATTATTTGCACATCAGTGTGCTGATTTAATTAGCCTGGTTTACAGCCAGCTCATTCTGCCTGCAGAGGAGGGCAGGACTGTTGGCAGAGGTGCCCCTGGGCTTTGCTGCTGGGCTCTTCCAGAAGTCACTGCGAGGGAGAGCAAACTGATGGGACAACGTCATTTTATTCTGTACATTTACATACAAAGTTCTTCTCAGTAGGTACAACAGATGTAACATCATGCAGACATTTAGCTTGTAAGACTGTTTTCAGTACTTGATTTAAGCTTGTGCTATGAGGAAGTACCACCAGACTAGTCATGATCAGAACATACAGTAACACGATTCTTTAAAACTTCATCAGAAACTGAGATGGGGAGGGAGGTCTCACCCACTAGACATAACACACCCGACTCCTTTCCCCAAACATGTTACACAATACATTTAAAATGAGGTTTGTAATCTTATTTTTCTTAAAAAAAAAAACCAAAAAAAACAAATGCAGTGGGGGAGATGATCCCCTCACTTCATAGTGTTGTCTTATGTGCCAGCTACAGGCGCAACTTGACGTGACATTCACAGAGTTCAGTTAATGGCACTTCTGCTTCCAATTGGGTGACCTTTAGAGTGTTTGGCTCCAGGAAGTGGCAACTGTTCAGCAAAATACTTCCATTAAAAAAGAAAAACCAAAAAAAAAAAAACCCAAAAAGCAGCTCTCACAACCCCCTTTTCTGAGCAGCCACAAAACACTTGCAAACAGGCGACGGTCGTTATCCATTTGCAGCGTGTCCGGAGACAAGAGCACTACTGGGACCTCAAAAGGGGACAAACTGCCCCAGGATCAAGCAGGACGTCACCTTCACGTTTTTATTTATGCTTACCAAAGATGGAAGAAAGCCCTTAAATGGTAAACCCAAAGAAAAACCCACTGATGGGCTTAGAGGTTACTGAAGGTGCACAGAAAAGGCCCAAATGGACAGGACAGCTTTGACCATTGGTGGGTGGCCAGGAGGAGCTGCCTGAGGAAAGCCTTTGCCTGGTGCTGGCTGTGGAGGAGCCCATGGAGCAGCAGATGTAGGTCCTGAGGCTGGGAGCCCAGGATTGCATCTCCTCCTGCCCTGCTCCAGCACCCAGCACCCAGCTCGGAAAGCAAAAGCTTTCTGACTGCAGGGGGTGAGGAAATAAAAGCACTCATCACAGAAGCGTTTGTCATTTCAGGAAAAGGAGCAAAACTGGAGCTGCCGAGGCAGGAGATGAGTTTGTGGTGCATGGTCCTGAGAGGGGCAGAGGGCCAGGCCAGCAGAAGCTGGGGCTCCCTGCACGGACAGGTCCTCAGTGCCAACTGCCTGGAGGCAGGTGGGTGAGCCCCTGGGCACGCTGGGCCCTGCTCCCTGCCCCTTCGCCCCTTTCAGGCCCTTTTGCTCTTCCCTTGACTTGTTTTGCTGCTTCAATTTTTTTGTTGATGTTGTGAACCCACTTCCCCTCTTTCCCCACCCCCAGATGAGGCTTGCGGGAAGCATCTCGCATCGAAGGCTAGAGGTATCACAGGAGTGTGGCACGTGAGTACTGCACGGGTGGGGAAGGGCTGGGGTTCTTCCTTAGGTGCACACAGACTGCAGAAGCCTCAGCTCTGAACAAGAAGAGAAGCAGCCGTGCTGAAGCTCAGCAATAAACTCAAGCAGGAGGAAGATGGGGCTGTGGCTGTCCCGGCAAGTCCAGCAAAGGTGGGGAAAAAAACAGTAGCATAACTTTGGGCAAAACTACCATCAACTGGTCCAGTGTTTCTTAGCAGGCTCGAGAAGAACCCGAACGTCCACATCCTCTGTACACAATTTAGCAGCTTTAGGACAACACTGTTACTCTGAACACAACAATCTCTGTCCCTTCTGCAGGTCTGCCTGTCCCCCGACCCGTCGGGCTCCGACCGCGCTGCCAGCCTCTCCCATGGACTGGGGCCTCTAAGAGGACAGGGGCAGCCTAAGGGAAGGTGGAGATTGTTAGGTGCAGTGGTTAACGGACAATATATACAGCGGAGGAGGAAGGGGAGGGGAGGAGGGAGAGGAGGAGGGAGGGAAGGGGGGAGAGAAGGGGCCCTTGGGCCACGTGCCGATCGTAGGGACGCTCAACGCGCCGGTGACGTCCCACGGCCCCGCTCACCCGGGCACCTGCACCAGTGAGCAGTGCCAAAGGGATGGTCTGATGATGATGATGAGGAGGAGGAGGATTAGGAGGATGAGGAGGAGGAGGGAGGGCAGAGCAGGGGCTGAGCACAGCGCAGGGACCCGGCGAGTGCACAGGGACCCCCACGGGACGCACAGCGCGGGACCCGGAGGCAGGAGCTGTTCTGGGGGCTGGGGAAGAGGAGCCAGGTGGCCACTGTCCAAGTGCCATCTGCACACTAGGAGAAAACTGGATGTTCACTTTACTTGGCCTAGAGTAGGATCAATCCAATTTAAGTCAACTTATTTTTTTTTTTCCTGGATGGAAATCCTACGAGAGCAGTTGGGGAAGCGGGGAAATGTGGGTGAGTTCACTCCATGTTCTTGGGTCAAACCCAGGAAACATCTAAAAGCCCCAAGACAGCCAACAGCAGACCCTAAGTCATTATTCACAGGCTATCAATTAATTCATCTCAATACTCACTGTAAGCATTTTGTCCACGTCAATGGAAAACCCAGACCCCAGTTCTGAAACCAGTCCCTGGAGCAGGAGTCCTGGCTGTGCTGCCTTTCAGAACCAAAGCACAGATTGCAGCCCATGCTCCTCACTTTTTGTGCTTGCTGGTCTATGCTCTTCTCCTGGAGCAGCTCACCAGAGATTCTGAGCCTTCTGGTAATTAAAGCCATTCTCAGCAAAATTAATTTGTGCATCATTGGTCAAATCATTTACATCATCTATATTGTTATGAAAGACCAGCGGGAACCATCTAAAATAGATCAATGGACTCTTAAAATGCAAAAGGCTGATTCTCACCAAAAAAAAATCAGTTTGAGTAGGATTTTCTACATTGCATTTGGTAGGAAAAAAAAAAACCCAACCAAACTAATTTTGAAAGTAACTTTTAAGTGCACAGGGGCCATAAAAACCAACATAAGCTGCCTAAAAATGCAGTCAGAGTTTGAGTCATGACAGGTTTTGCTTTGTTGTTTGGTTTTTTTTTCCATGTATACAAACACAGCAGGCAACCTGGGTGCTTGGACTTTCTAGACAGGCAGAACACTGCACGAGTCCAGATTTCAGTCAATTCAACTTTGCAGTGGATCCCTCTTTCCTTTAAAGAAACACAAAAACAAAACAGAAAACAACCCCCCCCCCATGGTTTTTTTCTTGGAATGGCTGCACCTCTTATTGTAAGATGGCTTCGTTTTTGTGATCTAGGAAAGGAAAAGGAAATAAAGTGCTTCTTGAGAATAAATCAAAATAAATATACATATTTAATGGCAGGAAAAAAAAAAAAAAAGAGTTCTGAAGGGCTACCTCCAGCCAGGTCTTTTCTCAGATGAGTCTTTTCCCCCATAATGTTTTCAAGAGCAATCCGCACAACAGTTGAAGATGCCAAAAGCTGCTTCAGCAGCAGAGTTGAGTCCCCCCAAATCCGTGTCTGCTCCACCACCGGTCTGTCAAACCTGCCCAAAACACCCAAAGTGCCTCTCCTCCTGCACCACAGCGCCAAAGAAAATCCAAAGGGAGGAGGAAAAATCATCATCAAACCCAACCAACGAAAAAGAAACAAAACAAAAGGGTGGGGGGGAACAAAAAAATCATCTCTCCCCACCGTCACATGGGCTTCACCCCGTTGGCAGCCGTGCTCTCCGGGGTGCCCTCGCCCACGGCGGCCGAGTCGTGGAGCCCAGAGTAGTCCTTGAGCTCGGAGTTCGTGAGGAGCAGGGGCTGCTCCCCCCTCCTGTGGGGCAGCAGGGGCTGCCGGGTGTAGTGCTCCCCGTCGGGGATGGTCTCGGGCAGGTGCTGGTTCTTGCTCTCGGGCAGCAGCAGGATGCAGATGATGCAGATGAGGGTGCAGCAGGCGAAGATGACGTGGTGCAGGAAGTAGCCTTTCTGGTTGTGCAGCTCCATGATGGGGGCGGTCAGGCGGCCGAAGCCCGCGCTGGCCAGCACCAGCCCCAGCCCCCCTCCCCTGCAAAACAGGGCGTGGTGAGAGCCTGCCCCCTGCCCGCCCCAGCCCAGCCCCCCGGCTGCCTCT